CATTACCGCTCGTGCCTGCAGACCCGCTTGGCGCAGACGTGTACGAGCCACCGGTACAGTAGAAGCCCGCGTCACAGGGACCACTTGGGTTTGTGAGCGCCGTTCCGTCGCAGTACATGCCGGGGAGGCACGTGAAACAGTTTTCCATCATCTTGAGACCCGTTGCGTTGCCGTAGGTGCCCAGTGGACACGGCTCGGGATTCGATGTCCCCGTGATGCAGTAGTAGCCGCGCGGACAATCGATGGGCACTGTGGAAGCGATGGTGCAGTACTTGCCTGCTGGGCATACGGCGCAGTCGTCTTGCGAGCGACCTTGGGTTCGGTTCAGGTAATAGCGCGGTGGGCAGGCGACTTGCGTGTTGGACGTTGACATGGAAGGACAATAGTAGCCAGGCGAGCACTCGCCGGTTGGTACCACCGACGCCTATGCAGCACGTGAGGTACCCGTGCACGGGCAGAGAGCCTACTGGCAGGCTGAAGTAACCCGCTGGTGTCGGAATGCAATCGGCGAGGGCGTCTTGGCCAGTGACGTTGTTGAATGTACCCGCGGGGCAATACACGGGTGTTGGGGTCGCCATGGGGCAGTAGTAACCCTGTGGACACGCATTTGTCACAAGCGTGGGCTCGTAACTCATGCTTCCAGGGCAGTACGTGCCATTATAACATCGACCAAAGAGGGACCCGCGGAGGCTCCACGTCCCTGCCGACGTCGGCAAGAGCTCCATCGCCGTCGTGTTGCTGCCGCAAAAGTAGCCTGCCGGGCAAGCTTGGCACGTGAACGATGCCATTGGCGATGACTTGCCGACACCACACGGCAGCGGTGTGACGCTACCCAGGGGACAGTAGAACCCCGACGGACACGTGGTGCACATCGGAAACGCCCCTGGTCCTGGCGCTGCCGTATTGGTCACCGACGTGTACGAGCCGGGAGGACACTGCACAGGCGTGATGGACCTACATCGGACCATCGCATCAACTTTCACTTGGATACAACAACCAACCCGGTCGGGCAGTAGGCGCCTGGTGGACACGCAGTGCATTGCGTCGGGTCGGTCAAGTTGGTCAGCGCCGTGTACGTGCCGCTAGGGCACGGGTACGCGGTCGGCAACGCCGTGCCAATCGGGCAGTAGTGTCCTTGACCACACGGGCCATCAATGACCGAGTTGCCACCGGCGCAGTAGGACCCCGGTGGGCAAATCGTGCACTCGCTCGCGGCCGCAAGACTGCCAAGGCTGCTCCAGTACCCCGGTGGACACGGAAACTGTTTAGGAAACGCAGTGCCATTCGGGCAAAAGAAGCCTACAAACACGCATTCGAAGAATCCCCACAAGTGCTAGCACGTCATACCAGCAGCACACGGCAGCATCTGGAGCATGTTGTTGCCCGTGCCACTCAAACACGCCTACAACCATCGCAAATGAGCAACGAAACAACACGACGATCGTACATAGCGCTCGGGACAGATAGTACAGTCAGTGACACGCACAAGCGAGATCGCGTCCGTGTACGTGCCGGCGGCGCACGGATACGATATCGCCGAGACCGTTCCGACGGGGCAGTAGTGCCCCGGGGCACACGGATCGGTGACAGCGATTTGACCGACATGAGGGCACGACATGCCTTGCGGGCATAGGAGACACTCGTACAGTCCAGATGCACTTGTTGAGGGGTTGTAGCGGCCGGCGGGGCACGGCGTCGGGCTCACGGAGCCTTGCGGGCAATAGTTGCCTACCGTGCACGGGACGCACTGCGACCCCGAGACGATGCCCGTGTTGTTGCCGCCAAACGTCCCCGCGGGGCAGAGGTATTGCGTTGCGCTTTGCGTTCCTGCCGGGCAATATGACCCGGACGGACAAACCACTGGTAGTGGGCTGCCTGCGGGGCAGTAGGACCCAGCGGGGCAGTTGACGCAGGCCATGCTAGAACCTGCATTCGGGTTGGGGTTGTACTGTCCAGCGGGGCACGGAAACGCAGAGCTATACGGCGTGCCAACGGGGCAGTAAAAACCTGGAGGACACGGGACCATAGACACCGCGGTGCTTCCGCTTCCGCAAGCGAACCCCTGCGGACATGGCGCGCAGGCTTGGTTGACGCTCTACGCCACTCTCGCACACCGTCGAATAACGTCGATCGCAGTACCTCGCCGGCCGTGGTGTTGCCATACGTGCCTGGCGGGCACATGAAGAACGTTGTCGGTGGATTGCAATAGCCCCCCGCCGGACACGCATCGCTACAGACGTAAACGAGTATTCAGCGTCATCAAGTACAACCAATAGGGCATACGCCGGAGGGGTCGGTGATGTCGATGCCAGGCTGCAGCGGTAGCCAGGGTTGCACTCCAAGCAGTTCAAGATCGTGCCGGGGCTCCAATACCCAATGGGGCATGGCTGCGGCGGCTGGTCCGGGTGCGGGCACTCGTATCCTGGCATGCAAGGCGAGCACGTTGTCCAGCCCGCGAGCGAGTAGTACCCCGGTGCGCACGGCTGGGGCGTGGTTGTGAGGTTGCTGCAGCTGTACCCTGCTGGGCACGACGTACACGTCCCCTGGCCCGTTAGCGAGTAGAGACCGAGACCGCAGGGTGTAATACTCCAGTTGCTCACCGACGGACAGAGAAACCCGGCGGGACATGGCGTGCAGCTGGCTTGGCCACCACCAGAGAACGTCCCAAACGCACACGCCGTCTTTGCACTCGACGTCGGATCCGCACAAGCAAAGCCCGCGGGACATGGTAGACATGTCGTTTGGCCGCCGATGCTATAGTAGCCGGGCGAGCACGGAAGCTGAATACTCGAGTCGGTCGACGGGCATGCAAACCCCGCAGGGCACTTGGTGCAAGCTGTCGCACCCCCGGTGGAGAAGTACCCTGCTGTGCACGGAGCATTGTTGGTGCCATCGACAGCGGGACACTGATATCCGCTTGGGCACTCGGTGCAGTTGGCACTTGCGAGGCCAACAGAGAACGTTCCTGGGGCGCACGCGAGCGCGACCGACTGGTTGGTGTACGGACAGTACTTGCCGACGGGGCACGATGTACATGACGTGGCACCAGCGATCGAGTACGTTCCTTGCGCGCACGGCAGCGGCAAAAGCGAGGTCGTTGTCGGGCACATGGTGCCCGCCGAGCACAAGGTGCAGCTGGTCTGACTCCCACCACTAAAGGTACCAGCAATGCACGCAATGGGGGCCGCCGACAATGTAGGACATTGCATGCCAGCGGGGCACGGGGTGCACGCTGTACTTGCTGCAAGACTAGAGCAACACGTGGTATAGGACATTGTGTGATAGGAGATTGTGGCGGCGTTGATTCACACCTGTAGGTGCCCGGGGTACAAGGCACAGGTGGCATCGACGTCGTAGCGCAGTACGACCCCGCGGGACACACGGTGCAGTTGGCGCTGTTAGCGTTCGAGTAGTACCCCGTGCTACACGGTTGCGGCACGAGGGTAGGGACCGGGCACATAAAACCGGGGCTGCACGACGAGCAAGACACTTGGCCCGCCGCGGCGTACGTTCCCAGCGTACATGGCACTGGTGGAAGCAACATTGACGCACACGCCGCACCGGCGGGGCATGTAATGCAGCTCGTGTTCCCCTAGTCCAACAGCATCAGCTCTGTTCAGATCGGCGATGCCAAAAGTACCGGAAGACTATAGCTGCCACTGGGACAACCTTGAAGCGTATTTCCCGCGCACGTATACCCCGCGGGGCACACCGAGCACGTGCCGTTGCCTGCCAAGCTAAAGTAACCTGTCGCGCACGGCACGGGGGCCGCCGTTGTCAACGCGCACGAGAAACCTGCGGGGCACGGTGTGCACGCGAGGGACCCTTGGAGCCTATGGAAAGCAGTTTGGTGTTAGCCCTCAATTTAGATAAGGCTTTGTATGTACGCGTAAGTCCCGATCGGGCATGGCAGTGGCAGCGCGTTTGTACTGACACAGCTTGAGCCAGCAGGACATATGGTGCAGGTAAGTGCTAAAGCGAGCGAGTACGTTCCGCTGCCGCAGACAATGGGCGCAGCCGCCGCGACAGGACATGCTTGGCCAGCCAAGCACGGCGTACACGACGCTGCCCCTCCGGTCGCGTATGTGCCCGAGGCGCAGGCAACTGGTGCGTGCGTCGGGTCGGCGCAAAATTGGCCCGCCGGACAGGGATTGCACACGGCTACTCCCTACCACAACATGACAATCAAGCACTGGCTACATCAAATGCCTGTTGATCCAATACCGCCAAGCTGAAAGTCCCGAGGGTACAGGGCGTCGGTGAGGCGGACGTCGTCGCGCAGCTCGAGCCAGCAGGACATGCTGCGCAGGTCGCAGCGCCACCAATGCTAAACGAGCCAACGGCGCACGGCGTCGGGCTTTGGGCTGAGTTCGCACAGGAGAAGCCCGCGGGGCACGAAGTACAGGCGGTCGATCCGGGCGTGAGCGCTGTCGAGCCGCTCGGACAGGCCGTGCACGTCGACGCGGTCGTGGCGAGCGCAATCGACGAAAACGTACCAATGGGACATGCTGTCGGCGGTGCACACCCGCCCGTGCAGTACGCGCCAGGATAGCACGCCGTGCAGACGTCGTTGGACGCGTTAAAGGCCGACGCGTAAAACCCTGCAGAGCATTGTCCAAGGCAGTTGACGGCAGCTACAAACACATTTACATATACGATTCCGGAAAAGCCGGTGCGACGTACCCGAATAGATGGGCAGGGACGACATGGCCGTGGACTCCAAGAGGTACCCTTCGCTTGTCGCGGTGCTCACAACGCCGGGGCTCGCGACGATGCCATCTGTCGGAGGGTTGAGCAAGCTACTGAGCCAGAACGCGACCGTGGAGCCGCTCGGGATCGTGCTGCCGTCGCCACGGCGCTGGATCTTGAGCACACTGGACGCATGCGTCATCGAGTAGTTGCCATTTTGGCTGAGCATGTGCAGCGCCGTGTTGGTACTCAGTTGGTACGATGGGTTCAACGACACGACCACCTCTCCGTTGGATGGAATATCGACTGCAGTCGAAAAAACAACCATGAGACCGGCGTCTTGGCCGGCGCGAAGCGACTGCACACCGAGGTACCCGAGGCTCAATGGCGCCGACTGCAAAACGCTGCCAAGGGTGCTCGTGACAGTGACTTGTTGGCTCTGGTTATCGAGCAGCGTGACGGTGTATGTGTCTTGGACGCCCGTGGACGGAGGGACTTGGATGTTGAGTAGCGTAATGGTGACCTCTGTTCCTGCAGCGATCGCGGCCGTGTTGCCGACAACAAAGTCCAGCGTCGTGCTGCTGGGCCGAAGGACTTTGGCGCCAGTTGTGTCATGGCTCGTAATCGCGAGCAACGGTGGCGACGGGGCAATGTTCACATAGGCGTACGGCGGCGGCAGTTGGAGCGCGAGCGTCGCGTTCACAGGTATCGGCTGCGTGAACGCAAACACGATCGAGAGGTTCGTCGTTCGGCCCACGACGACGCTGGTCGACGTAACGACTGGCGTCGCACTTGCATCTACGCAGGGTGATGGGGTGATGGTCTCTGCCTCGACGAGGCGCCATCGTACCGAGGCGTCGCGACGATGGGGTCGGACCGAAGGAGAACCAGGACGCCTGGATTCCAGCGTAGAGCGTAGCAAAGAGCAGGCAGAGGAGGTCGAGACGACGCATGCTGCTGCGGTTGATGGAGGACGAGCGGACTTGGGCTGCTTGTCGATGACCTTTGTTCGAGAATCGGATAGAGATCCCTCTAAGATACACGTCCGGATACGAGCAACGCCAGACCAGATTAGGGCTATTCGCACGCAATAATAGGCGCGTCCAGACGGACGCTGCGCCGCCATCGCGACGCCAAACCCTGAAATCCACCAACGCCATGCGGGCCCAGTGCTCTCAGAGGAACACCAATTTTCTGCGCTGTACAAGCCTGCTGTGGTTATACCTCGTACTACCCAGCGATTATCGTCCGGTTTCCGGTATGTTATCTTCTGGATCGCTGTTCCACAGAACGCCTACTAGCCAAACGCATCGTCGACTCGTACGTGGATCTTGGTTCACACAAGGTATACATGGATGCGGCTCAAGCACGGACTGAGCCCAAGGAACGCAAAAGGCTGGCAGCACGAAGCGTTGAAGCCCTTTCTAGTTGGGTGGTTTTAGCGTCTATTTTCCGGAAAAGCCTCTGAAAAGACATGGTATTACTGCTAACGGGTTTCCGAGTTTGTCTGTGGACAACAGTCAGCAACAGCGCCGGAAGCAACCAGCAGCATGGGCGACCTCATCCTCGACCCGAGCATTCGCGACTGGGTCATCGTGCCCATGATCGTCCTCTTCGTGTGCTCGGCCATGATGCGCAACTACGTCTCGGTCCTCCTCAAGACGGACGAAGCTGGCGAGCTCGAGGAGCTCCGCAAGATGTAAGCTGCATGCTACGTGGCACGTATCGCTCATCATCGTAACGTGGTAGCAACACGGTCAAGCGCGCGGCCATGCTTCGCATGAACTGCCAGTACATCACGCGCAGCGCCTTCTCGATGCGCAAGTTCTACTTTACGGCCTCGGAGAAGAACGACGGCGTCCAAGGCGCGCTGCGCGAAAAAGTCAAGAACGATGCGATGAACCAAATGATGAACCCCAACAGCATGATGAAGATGATGAAGGGCAACATGACGTTCATGGTCTCCAACTTTGTTATGATGGGCCTCATGGGCTACTTCTTTGGCGGCTTTGTCCTCGGTACGCTCATCAATCCTACCTTGTGGATGAAAAGCTCAGCATCGTCAACACTGTCTAGTCAAGGTCCCCTTCTCGCTCACGCAGCGCTTCAAGGCCATGTTGCAGCGTGGCATTGAAATGACGTACGCCTTCTTGACGCCTGCTCGTCCTTGGATACTGATTTGATGCGTCTAGGACCTTGGACGTCTCGTATGTCTCGTCGGTCTCACTCTACTTTCTCATCATGTTTGGCATGAGCGGCTTCATGTCGCTCATTCTCGGCAGCGGCAGCAGTATGTCCATCCCCTGCGACCACCGCGTATACTCATGGTCGTCGTGTAGTGAACGACGACGCCCGTGCGATGCAGATGCAAATGGGCATGGGAGCCGGCGCCGGCCCGGGCTTTGACGCGCCCCGTGTCTACAAGCAAGAGCGCGTCAACCTTCGCTTGCACGCCCACGAGTATGCGCTCGAGCACGCCGAGAAGAAGCTCCTCGGCGACGACATCCCCAAGAAAGTCGAGGCGCCAGTGCCCGTCGTCGTTTCGGACGCCGCGGTCTCCAAGCGCCGCCGCCAGCGCCAGCCGTAGACGCAGATTTGCATGCGCATACTAGAAGTCGTTCTCTCTAAGTGTATTACAGCTTGTACGGTTCCTTGACCTTATCGAGCATCGCGTCCAGCGTGTGCGTGTTGCCCGCCGCATTTTCCGCTAGGATCTGGTGCAGCTTGGGCTTCCACTCGCGCACGCGCGTGTTGATAAACCAGTTGTTGACTTGCTCGATCGTAATGCCGCCTTGGGCGCTCAGCACCTCCTTCTCCTCGTCCGTCGGGTACGGGTGGTGAAAATGCGCGTCAAACCACGTCCGGAGCACGCGCTTGGCGACCTTGGAGAGGTTGGTGCGCTTCTTGGCGGCCTTGTGCGTCGGTGGCGACGCCTCCAGCGCCTGGTCGAGGGCCGCCGTGTACCGGTCGCAGAGGTCGCGCGTCGTACCCGACGGGGTTGCCAGCACCATCTTGAGCTCTTCGAGGCACTTGGTGGCGCGGGCATCTTTTGTGGACGAGGCACGAAGGAGGTCCGTCATATGTGGCGCAAAGAGCGGCGCCATGGCTGCCCACACCGGGTCGCCAGCGAGGTGCGTCAGCGTGGAAGCAATGTCGTCTGTGATGGACGTCGTCGGTCCGAGCAGCGTGTCCGCGGTCGCGTCCTCGTAGTCGCGGCTACCGTCCGACCCAAAGCTCAACGCGTCGGCCGCGGCCGTGAGCGGACTGTCCGGTGCGGACGGCGGCGCTGGCGGGCGGTGGTTGGGCAGCGTCATGCAAGTTGCTCACTGAAGACGTGGCAGCGTGCGCGTGATACAGCACGTTGGCAAATAAAAAGGCCGAGATACGAGCGTTGGAGAAAAGAGGCAGTTGAGCGATGACGTTGCCCAACGTGAGTGCATACACGCCTCGTCCGAGTGCCAGCCGCGCCGCCGCCTCGCCACTCCCGGTCCTTGCGCCGTCACCCGCTGCCATCCTCGCGCTCGTGCGGGACCATCCGCTCTATGGGCTCCTCCAGCGGGTCTTTGTGTTGCTCGAGACTCCGCCCGAGGCAGCGACGGCGCAACCAAGCTTGCCCTCCAAGCGCGAGCTCGCCAAGCTCATTGCGCAGGCGCAGGCGCCAACCCATGCGATTGTGACACCGACACTCCTCGTGTTTTTGACGCTGCAGCTGCGGATGCTCCGATACTTTGAGGTGGTGTTGCAGGCGCGGGGGCGGCGGTTCTCGTCGTCGGCCGACTCGAGTCCCACGCACAAGGCGAGCGACGACGACGACGCAACGATGCTTGAGGACGAGAAGAAGCTCAAGCGCGCGCGCCTCACGCGCCGCTCGAACGAGTTTATGACCGCGTGGTTCCTTGCGCACAAGGGCAACCCGTACCCGTCGGCGAAGGAGCGCAACGAGATTGCGAGTACGACGCAGCTCAGCGAACTCCAAGTGCGCAACTGGTTTGCCAACATGCGCAAGCGTCATTGGAAGCCGCAGAATTCGGACAAGAAGCCCCGCTGCCTCCTTGACCTTGTCCTGCGTCGGTCGAGTCCGTGATGCTTTGTGTTGGAGAGCGCATTGAGCAATAAACGACGGTTCCTGCAGTGCTTCTTCTAGCTTGCTCGTCATGATGCAAGGTCGTCGGATCTGGTTGCGTGGCATGCCAGCCCAGGCCGCACTACGAGCAACGCATTCGCCTGCGCCACAATGGTACAGCGTGGTCGAGCCATATGGTGTGTCATCGGCCAGCTCGTGGAGGAATACTTGGAGCGTATCACGGTGTTCAAGGTCGTATTCGCCGCCGTGCAGTGAACGTCGTTTACGCCCCAGAGTCACTGCTGCATGTTCGCATCGCCAGCATCGTCAGGGTATGAGGGCGCGTAGACGTGTACAGACAGCAACCCAGATGTGGTCTTTGGGTCGAATTAAATCTAGGGCACCACACAAGTCTATTCGTCGTCCAACGACGGGCGTTCGCCAATCTCGTTCTTGATGTACTTGTACTTGGAGCTCGGGCGGAGGTTGGCAGCGGCCGCGATCGAGCCGTGCGCCGGCGCCTGCTTGATGCCGAGGGACTCTTCCTTGAACTCCGGCGTGAGGCCGGGCCACGCGCACCAGGCGACGATGGCGCCGAGGGGGGCGGCCCACGTGGCAAGCGGCGCGACGATGCGGCCCACGTGGCGGAGCTCGACCTGGAGGTTCGCGGGGTTGGCAAGAGCGCGGTTCATTTTCAGAGTCAAATCCGAGATTGACTGCTCGCCACCACGAACGTCGCCCCGAAAGCTGCCTTCTGATTGGCTCTCGGCCCCAGCGCCGAAGGCAAACGATGGCGCTCTTGGCCTCTCCCGCAGCACGATTTTTATTAGCTTGATGTTTGTATGCAATGCCCCTGTTTTTATGCACACGTGTTTTTGCACCGAGGCAATTAACCGGTTGCCGTCAACGGCAAGATGGAGGAGGTCTCGCGCCGGGCCCACGTCAGCTGCTGCAACAGCGACTACTGGATCGATACATACTCTGCATGAGGAAGCATATCTTGCAAAGCAAGAGCCGTGTAAAGGACCAACCGCTGACGCTGCACGGCGGAAGCACCGAGGTGAACTTCAATCGCCCACGACACGATGAAGCTGCAGGCAAGCATGCACCGCCTCACGCTCAACGGGCTCGAGAAGGAGTCTCTCAGCGAAAAGCCGTGAGGAGGAGTAATTGGGACCGCCTCGTCTTTGCGGTATGAGCGCAGGCGTACTCGTGGCAGCTAAAATGGACCCTGGCACACGGTGTGCAAGTGCGGTGAAAGAGCGTGCAACGCATTAGCTATGACCCGAAGAAGAGCCGCCATAGCCCACGAGCGACTGGCGGAAGGCGTACGCATGTCGAGTTAGCTTCGCTGCTAAAATAGTGGGTGTCAATGATGGTCGGCATGATGCCGGAACCTGGATGTCGTGGAGCGGAATCACGGAGTTTTGCGATTGTTGCAGAGATACTGTATGTCGCTGCGCGCAAAGTCGAAATGGCGATGAGGCGACGTCCGACCCTTGTAGCCACATCGTATGTAAAGCGCAATTGCCGCAGCATCAACATTGTGGCGCTTGAGCGTGCTAGGCATGTATCACGGGCTTCACTCTGCAAAGGGAGCCCTCGAACTGCTGCTATGGAGGAGCCGTTGAGTCGCGCTAAAACTTGGGAGATCCTCGTGTTCGGATTGGGCTTCCCTACACGAGATGGCCTTGTATCCCCAGTTTAACGACGTCCCTCGCGAGAGACTGGAAAGAACGACAAACAAGCTGCCGCATAGCAGCCAGGGTTGACCCTGGGGTTGACCCTTGAAGCGACGATTTCTTCAAACCCAAGGCATTTCGGGTAACTGGTCCAACTACGTCGCGAGCTCGGGAACAGCGAACAAATATAGTCTGTATGTACTGGCGATGCAAAGATGCTGGAAGTAAAGGAACTGGAGTCCTTGGGCACTTGAAGCGGCAAAATCATTGCGCACTGAGCTATCGAGTGTGGCATATACTTCAAGGGCGCCAAAAGTATAAGCCAGTCCCTCTGGACAAGCATACACGAGGGCATTTTGTTGTACTCATGAGGAAAGTATCACCCGAACGAGGAGCAGCAGGATTCAGTATGGTGCAGGGCGTGGAAAGGAGACACAAAGGGTGCTACTGCGTGCGCGCACGTGGCATGTGCGCTAAGAGATAGCTATCAGAACTGGGCAGCACAGATCATGACAGCTACGCTCAACCGTTGGCTCGGTCCAAACGTGCTGTCGGATCAGGGTAACACGAACGCAAGTTGCATCCCGCTTGGAGATGGACTCGTATGGACGGCGGCGACCAGGACAAAGGAAACGAAATGCAAGGCACTATGCTGCAATCAACAACGCAAAAAGCTTGGGAAGGGACCCGGACGTTGAGCCCAAACGCGCTCTGTGCGGCTCCAGGGGCAGATACATCCTGCAACTATGGTCCCGATAAGCTGTCCCGATACTCATGCAGCGCATGCGACGAAGTCATGTCTGTCCCATAAACATCGGTGCTGCCGTCAAAGCAAGCTTTAGGTCACAACGAGCAAGCAAACTGACATGTAATCCTACACGACCCACACGGATCACGTGGCTTACCGCTCGCCCTTTTAGGGCGTATCCTCGGGCGGCGTTGCTACCTCCTCCGCATTCACCCAGATAACTCGGCTAAAGTTGGGTCCGCTACAGTCTGTAGCCCGTTCGCTCCATGCATTTTCGATACAACAGGGTATGGCTGCGTGCACGGTCGTGCTTATCCCCAAGGCGACTGGGTGCTCGGTGGTTGCTTGCGCAACAGCGCGATCTTTTTGGCGGCATGTCTGCAGCGTTCCTGATTGGTGAGATCTTCCAACTTTGCGAATCCGCCAATCAGAACCATCGCAGGCGCAAGATCGGACTCGAGCCAATCAGCGGCTGCCAGCTTGTCAAGCGTCAACCGCCTTTCTAAACCGCGAGCGAGCGAATCACACGCGATCACACCGACGCGCACCAATCGGAAGCGCGCAATGCATGCGCTAGCACGCTTCGATTCGTGGAACCGTGCCCCGATGGTCCCACGCTGTAGAAGATCGCGCGAGCTTCAACATGGCACCACTGGCGCTGCATAAAGAGTTCATTCTGCCTTTTGCTTTCTCCCAAGCAATCCCCTCCGCCATCATGACGATCGCCGTTGACATCGATGCCGGTACCCTCGGCTTCCCTCGCATGGGCCCCAACCGCGAGCTCAAGTTTGCGCTTGAAAAGTACTGGCGCGGCGCCGTGACCGAGGACCAGATGCGCAAGGTCGCGTCGGACGTCGAGTCGGCCAACTGGCACGCGCAGGTCGAGCGCGGCATCCAGCGCATTGCCGTTGGCATGTTCTCGCTCTACGACCACGTCCTGGACTGGACCTTGTACCTCGGCTGCGAGCCGCAGCGCTTTGGCAAGCTCTCGCACGACACGGACCGCTACTTTGCGATGGCCCGTGGCCTCGACGGCATCCCGGCGCTCGACATGACCAAGTGGTTCGACTCCAACTACCACTACGAAGTGCCCGAGCTCAACGTGCACACGACGCCCAAGGCCAACTTCGGCAAGTACCTCGAGACGATCAAGCGCGCCCAGGCCACGCTCGGCAAGGACACGGCCGTGCCGGTCATCCTCGGCCCGCTCACGTACCTCGCGCTCGCCAAGTACGACGAAACGACGACGCTCGCGACGATCCTCCCCAAGATCCTCCCGCTCTACACACTTTTGATCAACCAGCTCGCGGCGCTCGGCGTCCCGGAGGTCCAGATCCATGAGCCGTCGCTTGTCGGCGCCCATGCGTCGGCGCTCTTCCCGCACCTCGTCACGGTCTACGGCGACAGCACGCACACGGGCGCGCTCACGCACCCGAACGTCAAGATCCACCTCGCCACGTACTTTGAGGCGATCGACGAAGATGTCTACAAGTGGTTCACGACGTCCAAGATCGCAGCGCTCTCGCTCGACTTTACGCGTGGCGACAACCTCGCGATCCTCCAGAAGTTTGGCTTCCCGTCCGGCAAGCGCCTCGGCGCCGGCATCGTCGATGGCCGTGGTGTGTGGAAGATCGCCCCCAAGACGATCACGCCGATCCTCACCTCGATCGTCGAGGTCGTCTCGCGCAGCCCGAACGCTGCGATCACGATCCAGCCGAGCTCGTCGCTCCAGCACGTGCCGTACACGACCAAGGCCGAAGTCGACTTCCAGGCCGGCTTGAACTCGCTCTACGGCGTGCTCAGCTTTGCGTACGAAAAGCTCGACGAAGTCAAGCTCATCGCCAACGTCGTCAAGAACGGCCAGCTCAACACGTCGTCGGCGTTCGAGGCCGCTACCGCCGCGTGGGCCACGTACTACAAGGAGCACCCGGCCAAGGCCGCGGTCCAGTCGCGCGTCAACGGCGTCACCGAGGCTGACCTCAAGCGTCCGTCGGACTTTGCGACGCGCCGCCCGCACCAGATGAAGTCGTGCCCGATCCTCCCGACGACGACGATCGGGTCGTTCCCGCAGACGGCGCAGATCCGCGGTCTCCGCCGCCAGCTCAAGCTCGGCAAGATCACGCAGACGGCGTACGAAGCTGAGATTGACGCGCAGATCGCGTACAACATTGGCGTCCAGGACGCGCTTGGCCTCGACATCCTCGTGCACGGTGAGCCCGAGCGCACGGACATGGTCGAGTTCTTCGCCGAGAAGCTCAACGGCTTTGCCTTCTCGCAGAACGGCTGGGTGCAGTCGTACGGCTCGCGCTGCGTGCGCCCGCCGGTCATTTACGCCGACCTCGAGCGCCCGTACGACATGACGGTGCGCGAGTTCAAGGTTGCGCAGGGCTTCTCGGCCTTCAAGCCCGTCAAGGGTATGCTCACGGGCCCCGTCACGATCCTCAACTGGTCGTTCCCGCGCCTTGACATTACGCGCAAGGAGCAGGCGTACCAGCTCGCGCTCTGCCTCCGCGATGAAGTCGCCGCCCTCGAGAAGGCCGGCTGCTCCATCATCCAGGTCGACGAACCCGCGCTCCGTGAAGGCATGCCGCTCAAGCTCGCCAAGAAGGACGCGTACTTGCGCTGGGCCGTCGACGCCTTCCGCCTCGCGACTGCGGTCGCCGCCAACCCGACGTCGATCCACACGCACATGTGCTACTGCGAGTTCAACGACTGCATGCCGTCGATCGACGAGATTGACGCTGACGTCAACTCGATCGAGAACGCGCGCAGCGGTGACGAGACCATCCGCGCCTTCAAGTCGATTGGGTACAAGAAGGACCTTGGCCCGGGTGTCTACGACATCCACTCGCCTGTCGTGCCGCCCAAGGAGGAGATCGTCGCCAAGCTCGAGTCGTTCCTCAAGCTCCTTCCTGCCAAGCAGCTCGTCGTCAACCCCGACTGCGGCCTCAAGACGCGCCGCTGGCCCGAGACCATCGCCGCGCTCAAGAACATGGTCGAGGCCACGTACCAAGTGCGTGCCTCGCTCCAGTAAACACCCTCGATAGCCAACACGATCACGCAAGTGAGACTGTGCTCGGACCCGTGTCGGTGCGAAAGCGTCCACACGGACAGTAGGCAACTGCGGTTCAACCAAGCGACTTTACCGTCCCTCGGTCGATCCGAGCACTTCGGCTATTTTGCGTGTTTTGTTGAAATATTAAATTCTAGTTTTGTTCATCTTTCCACCTTGTCTTGAGTCCGTAGCAATAGACAATCTCCATGCTCTACAACTAGAGCATTGCAAAGCGCATCGATGCAATAGCATACACGAGGCCTTCGAACTGCTGGCAAATCACGCTGTTGTCTTCAACTAGGGTTGGGGTCCGAGTTGCTGAAGTTGTTGGTTGACCCCGAAAGCCACAATGGCCAGGCTTTGCTGCTTCCTTTCGTACTAAGCACCGAGACGCCGAGATGGTCGATGGCAATCAATTACTAATAAAACAAAACTTAAATATGACCCAAAAGCTTATTGGCAAAGGTCTGCGGCGTCGCTGGCGAGCGCGTCGATCGCGAGGTCGACCTTGTGCAGCGTGATGAGGTCGTGCGTCGTGAGGTCGGCTTCAAAGTGCCAGAGCATCTCCAGCGTCTTGCGCACGCAATCGAGGCTCGAGGCGACGTTGGCTGGACCCTCGGCGACGCGGCCCGAGAGCGTCTCGAGACCGTCGAGGAGCTCGATCAGAAAGTCTTTGTCCAAGCCTGCGTCCAGCGTCTTGGTGAGCAGCGCAAAGACGGGCTGCAGGAGCGCGTGCCAGTCGTTGACGATCGCGGCCGCGGCGACGCGAGCTTCGAGCGCCTCCAGCTTGAGCTCGAGCATCTCGATCGCGAGCGTCGAGTGC